CACTAAAAATTCGAAAGACAGGTGCATCCAAAACGCAACAATAAATGGAAATTTCATGAATTTGCCTAAAGCAAGTGAAATGATCACCTCTTTAATATTAACTTAAACGAGTCAAGTCGAAACCTACTATTGACTAATAATTCTTTAAGTTAAGATTTACAAATCGTTAAAAATTTAAATTCAAGTTGTTAGTAATAATTGATTTTCATGCTTATATACTTAACTTATGCATAAATTCCCACTAATATAAGATTCAGAGCATTATCTAGGTTCTCTACTACAAGAACCCAGTTTCATCTAGGTTCTTCATGAGGCAAAGAATCAAGATTGATCTGGTCTCTCACGTGGGAAACTAGGATCAGGAAGAAAGGAAGAAGGAAGAAAGGAAGAAGGATGGAGTAATGAAGAGACAAGTTAGAGAGAAAAGTTCATGATTTTGCATAAAGCAAGAAAAGAAAAAAGAACAAAAACGCAGAAACAAAAACCCAATTCACCAATTCATCATCAATCATCACCACAATAAAAAAAAAAAAAATCCCCATAGCCCTCTCTTTGCGTTCTGGTACACATGAATTGGAATCATGATGTAAGGAACGAAGAATAAACCCTTCTGCCAAGTACGAACTATGAACTGAATTGAAAAGGCAAGTTGAATCCAAAAAGAAATACAAACCCAACAGAGTCACATGTTGGCTAAATGCACATCAAGAAAGAGGTAAATTAGAGTTTCAGAATTTTCTTTTCTTTTTTTTTTTTTTTGTTTCAACCACAAAGTAAAAATAAAAAAGAGAAGAGAACCTTACACAATTATTTTTTAGAGGTTTGATCTAATCATTTAACACTTAATCTTTTACCTTAATTTTATTTACCAAAGATTTCTTTTATTTTTTGCACTAAAATAAATAAAGATAACTTAAAGGAGTCATTCAATTTTTTTATACCAAATAAATTTTTTCACAAATCACACTCTTTTACAAAGTGAATCCAATCACTCTTATTACAAATTACTCTTGAAAAAATTAATCACACTTTCAACATATTACTCAGAAAAACCAAGTGGAGAATTATAAATAAAAAACACTTAAAAGATAAATCTTTATAAGTTCAAGCATAAAAATATTAAGGTGATAGGTGAAAAAAATTTAATGAAATTATATAAGAGAGTCATCAAGACATTTACCAATCATATTTATACTCCCCGATCAAAAATAACCATTCGAAGTCGTTGGGATCATTAAATACATTGCAGATCAGTTTAACTGTGAGAAAATATGCTGCAAAATTTTACTGTTAAGCCAGTTATATCCTCAAAGCCAGCTTTCCATAGCTAGCTATCAATGTCAGAGCCAGCTATCTTGGATTAGTTGAACATTCTGTCTTTCCAAAGCTAGCTTAGAAAATTTAAGTTTGAAAAGTAAAAAAAAATTCAAAATTTTGGACTGTTGGGCATTAAATGCTCCAGTATAGCTAGCTGTCAAATGAGAGCCTGCTTTGCATTTGTTTTCCACGCGCGCCATGCTTAAGGTTTGAGTTTTGGGACAGTATCACTGGTTGCAACATTCAATGCTGACTCTTAGCATTTTTCTTCAGCAGAGCCAGTTGTAGAAAGTCAAGTAGGCTCTTAGCAATTGTTTCCACATCCTTTATGCTTTTTCAGTTCAGTCCAATTTCATTAATTTCTCCAATTTTCAAGGCATAAACTACACACTAGATAAATAAATTAATAATTTAAGTATGTTTTATAATCATTAAAATTATAAGTACAACGTCAAGCCACCTAAAGGGAGATTAATGTTTGCGACGCTAAGGATTTGAAGCTAGCAGTGATTGTTGTGCTCCTTGAAAGTAGCCAGAGAACATTCTTGATCGGTGTATTTGAACTTGACGTTGAAGATGCCAACAACAATAGTAGTGGTTATGAGCATAGAGGACAGGAGATTGGAGAAGACGAGAGACTATTACGGTGGCCAGGTCAACTTTTTCAATGCCGTTTGGGAGTCCAGGGATCAAAAATCTTCATCTTGTGGTGGAGATACCAATTGTGAAGCTTCTTATTGCAGAAGATGGAGATCGATGGAGGAAGGGGATTGAGGGTTTCAAGGGATAAAAGAATAAATCACTAAATCAATTGAAAGGTGATCAGACTTCCAATGCATTAAGTTCAATAATATAAACTCATCATGCAAATAACTTTAATTGAAAGCATAAAATCACTAAATCCATATTAAGTTGATTAGGTTACATCATAGCCTTAATAGAATAAATCAGTTCATAATAAAAAGAATAAAATCTACGATCATAGTTATGAGCATAAGAATGTCTAAGGAAAAACAAAACCTAATTTGAGGTAATTGAAACCCTTGATCTTCTCGTTGATGGATCTTCTATCTTGATCTCCAAGAGTGCCCAAAAGAGGACTGCCACCAGCCGTTCCAAAACTCTCCTCATTCTAAATTTGGATGGGCATTTATAGGATTTTAGAAACCCTAATTGAAATAGGAGTAGGACTTGGAATAGAAATAGGAAACAGGAAACTGAATTTTAGATGCTGATCACGTGGTGCTGACACTTCAGATTATGTGTTGACACAAAATAGGAAATAGAATCTGGACGTTTAACGCATGGTGTCGACACCCCGGCTACGTGTCGACACTATGCCCGTGTCGGGTTTTTGGCCTCCTTTTGCAATTTCTTCAATGGTAAAATAGCAGATTTGGTTCTTGACTTCTGGATTCTGCACAAGTTGATCCTCAAGTCTATGATCTCTTCAATTTACTTCTAAAAAGTAGGATTTCTTTCAATTAAATCATTTTCTACACAAAGAATGAAAACTATGTAAAATCAAACAAAATCCTATAGAACTCATCCAAATATCAATAAAATCAAAGTAAAAATTCCCTATTAATATGTATATAAATTTAGCTCATCAATTGTCATCGTCAATTTTTACTGGAATCACATTCTTTTTTATTTAATCAGAGTAATTTCTTGAAGGGTCGGGTTGAATTAGGCAGTCCCCCTCCTCGATTTGATGGTGTATCAATGTGTCACTGAGTTGAAAACCTTCCTGGTGTGTTGTTTGGGAAACCCTTTGAAAACCAAACAATTGAGGATTTTGGGAACATCTATAATTGGATGAAAAGGTGCATTTTTTGGGAATTTCCTTATTGGTATGATAATCTTATTCGACATAATCTTAATGTAATGCACTGTAAGAAAATTTTCTTTGATAATATAATACACACTGTTATGAATGACAATAAGACAAAAGACAATGGGAAAGCAAGATTGGATTTAGCCATTTATTATGACCGAAGAAAACTGCACATGGGATATAATACACATGGTAAGCTTGTAAAGCCTAATGCTAGTTATGCACTGACATCTGAAAAACAAAAGCTTCTATGTGCATGGCTAAAATAGTTGCACTTTCCAGATGGGTTTGCTTCCAACATATCAAGATGTGTCAACTTGAATGAGTCCAAGTTATTTGGGATGAAAAGTCATGATTGTCATGTTTTCATGCAACGACTAATTCCAATTGCTTTTCACGGTTTATTGCCATTTGCTATTTGGGGTCCTTTGACCGACATTAGTAATTTCTTTCGTTCACTTTGTTCCCCGGTCATTAAAGTTACTGAGATGCAGAAGTGGGAGGCAAAGATTGTTGAAATAATTTGTAAGTTAGAAATAATATTCCCCCCAGCATTCTTTGATTCTATGGAACATCTAGTACATCTAGTAATTCATCTTTCATATGAGGCCGGAGTTGGTGGTCCTGTTCAATTTTGTTGGATGTACTCATTTGAAAGGTGCATGCGCAAATTTAAGAATACCATAGGGAATAAAAATCATGTTAAGGCATCAATTGTTGAGGCATTTATATTATACAAGATATCCCACTTCTGCTCTCGTTATTTTGGGGATGATGTTGAGACAAGTAGGAATCAACTTCCAAGGAACTATGGTGGCATTGGAACCAACGTCCCAAGTAAGTTATCCGTTTTTTGTTCTACTAGTGAATCAATAGGTGCCCACTCATGTACACGATGTTTAACACTAGAGAAGAAAGATGTAGCTGAACTATATGTCTTGCTAAATTACAAGGAGGTTGATGTTTGGGTAACATACGTTTTACATTTTAGGACAATAAGAACTACACAATGTTTAATAGCTTATATGATTTTCATAACGTTTTAATTAATAAATAAATGTTATTTTACAGTAAATTTGAGGAAAAAGTTGGTGCAAATTTGTCACATGAACAACTACAAAGATTGAGAACAAATAATTTTGTTCAATGGTTTAAAAATATGGTAATAAATTGTTATATATTATTTTCTCAAAATTTTAATTAAATATTAAATATTACTCAATTAATTTTTTTTTTCAAATATAGGTGTTTAGTGGACAATATGAAATCAATGAACTTATCCACCTTGTAGTTGGCCCGATCTTTGAAGTGAATGTTTATAATGGGTTCTATGCGAACGGCTTTAGATTTTTGACTGAAGAGTTTACTAGTAATAGAAAGACATATAACTGTGGTGTTTATGTTAAAGGAACCATCGTTAATTCTGTAGATGAAACTGATTATTATGGTGTCTTAAAAGAGGTGATCGAGTTATTGTATTATAGATACTCAGGCCATCAAGAGACTATAATATTGTTTAATTGTGATTGGTATGACATAGACCGAGGAATATGTGTCAATGTTGAACACGAAATTGTTGATGTCAATCCAAGGTTTAAACTTTCAATGGGGGAGCCATTTTGCCTTGCTAGTCAAGCGCAACAAGTTTATTATACTCCATATCCGGCAGCCATGGATAGAACTACCTAGGGATGGTAGGCAGCATGCAAAATCAAATCTAGACATCTAATTGAGACCTCATCTACCTCATCTTCAGGAGAGGTTGATGATATTTTTCAAGATGATGACCCCTCCATAATGTAAGGCTCTTCATTAGCTATAAATTTAACTACATACCAATCACTTCAACTATGTGTAGAAGGTGTTACAGAAGTTGAGGTTAATGCTAATACATCTGAAGAAGAGGAAGACTATGGACAAGAAAAAGATTTAGAATCCTCAAGAAATAGTGATAATGTTGAGGATGATGATGATAGCGATGATAGTGATGATTAATTAAAACATTTGTATTATTACTTATTAAATATATGTATTAAAATTTCTTTGTCTTATATATATTGTTTTATCAAGTTATATATTTTTCATTTAAAATAGAACCATTGTATGATTGTTCTAAATTTGTTACTCATTATTTGTATAAATGTATTAATAACTATTTTGTTATTCATTTTTCAGGATGTCTGGAAATCCTGCAAGTTCAGCAAGGAGGAGATCTTCCTCCTCAAGATCACAAGAGCAACACAATCTTAATCACCCACAACTGTTTACTGATGGTGGCTAGCTCCGGATATACAGCAAACAATTGATCCATTAATGGATTATAATTTTGCACTTGATCATGAGAACGAGGGCCCTTCATCCTTGATGGGGAAAAAAGGACAGAGCAAGAATTTAAAAGGAATACGCCCTCCAGAAAATAGAGAGAGCAAGAAATGGGTTAAACTCACTGATGATAAGCTCCAGTTTACTGATCCAAACATCCCTCGGGCTATCACTTCACTATGGAAGTCATGTTTTGATGGCCCGTATTTCACATACAAGCGTGTCCCCTAAAGCAAGTTGCTAAAATTTATAATTGTTTCAAGGTAAGATTAAGTTTAAGCAAATTTAATAAAATGAATGGATTTAGCAATTTCTAATAAAATAAATAATTTCATTACTAAACTAGAATTTACATTTCTCAGACATCTAATGTTATTAATTTCTTATTTGGCAGACACTTTACCAGTGGGATCCTGCAAATAATCGCCATGTGCGAGATGCATTCCTAAATTGTATAAAACATAGATGGAGTGACAATCTTAGGGATGAGAAGTTGAAATGGGACAAGAACTCAGCCTATGTCCCATGTTGGATCCCAACTTATGTATGAACTCAGCCTATGTCCCATGTTGGATCCCAACTTATGTATGGCCTCAGCTGCTGACATATTGGGACTCTGGGGAAAGGGTGACTCACACTACTGGGTCCATTAGCTTTGGCATCCATTAGATGCGGATGGTAATCAAGCTTAATTAATAAAAAAAATTTAATATATTAAATTTTTTTAACAATAAATTGTGTCAATTTATACTAACCAATATATTACATTATCAATATTTTGAAATATAGATTGAGTCTAGAGGTGGTGTGCAACCTCTCCATCAAGAGAAATTCAAGGAGACACACACTTTCAGAAAAAAGGCAAGAAAGGATCAAGAGCCAGCGTGAATCAATGAAAAAGCAAAGTATCGATATGTAAGTATATATAACATATAAATTAGCATAAAATGTATAGTTATAAGTGTCAAAAAAATTTATGTAATTAATCTAAATTATTTAGCAAAGTCTACTTTTTTTTTTTTATAGATTCTTTTCAAACTAGTTTTGACAACATTATTACTATTACTATTATTTTTTCAGGATACTTATGTTGCGGAGTGCACAAAGAGTCATGGCTCTGATGTTAGTTCGTGGCCACGCATGGATAACGAGGCATGGGTTAAGGCTGTTGGAGGTTGCTCATCTAATTTCATGCCAGGGATTGACTCCCAAGTAAATCTAGAGATGGTTGGTTTTACTTACAGGAAGAGACAACCCCGAGAAAACTTCATAGCAACATTGATGGTGTCTGACTATAAGGAGGCACAGGCAAAAGATCATGAGGAGTTAGAAAGACAATGCCAACAAATTGCTTTGATGCAACAACAGTTGGCCAATATGACACAAGCTCAGAATAATATGAGCCAGACAATTGCACAGTCTGTTGCAGCAGCTCTAGCTGCTCATGGTATCTCCCCTTAGGCAAGTCATCATCCAGTTGCCCCACCACAACCGCCACATGGTCCTGGCTCAAGTCTTCACATGAATTCAACTTTCACCTATTCCACTGATTCTACACAAACCTCTCCTATGGTTCCTGTATATTAGCAGCAGTGGCAGTTTCCGCCTCAAGATGATGATGCATACCATCTTGCTTTTGATCTAGACTATCAGGATCCTTAGTTTTTTTATTTTTCTACTACACACACTGTCTACACACTTTGCATGGTTAGCTTTATTTCTGTTAGTACTTTTAAACTGTTAGCGTTAACTTTTCATTACGATATATTTTCTTATTTTGCTTGACCTCTAGTGATCATACTTCAAAAGGTATGAAGTTTTGGACTGCTTTGGAGGTTAATTATTATTAACTAAATATCGTGGGTATTTAAGACAATGGTGTGTGATTGCCATATATACTTTGTGGTTGTGGTTATGGTTATGGTTATGGTTGAACAGGTATAAGGTATAATTGTTTTTAGCATACTAGACTTGTAGAATATGTGTGTTTCTCATTGCAAATGCAGGTAAAAAAAATTGGTTTTGATCATATGTATGGGGAAATTCTATCAATTTTTTTTTAGAATTTATACCAACTAAAATGACCAAATTGCAAAAAATCTATTGAATAAATTTCAAATTATTGCATTTTTTATCACAAAGTTGTAGTATTGCAAATGCAGATTTAAAAAAAAAATACCTTTTATCATATATACGAGGGAATTTTGATAATTTTTTTTTTAAAATTTATGTCAACTAAAATGTAAGAAATCTGTTAGATAAATTCAGAAAATGGCATGAAAACGAAATCTGGAAAGGAACTTAGGCAAAATGGACAAAATCTAGAAAGGAAGTTGTGGAATTTTTACCGGTCATACTAGAAACGTACTCCTAGTTGGTAAAATCAAGTGCTCACTTGCATCTTCTTGGTAAAGTCGCCAAATTAATACCAACAGGATGCTGGTCGGTAATTTGGGCACAGATTGCAAAACTTTTTGTTTTTGGATTCCCGCTCTCGGTCACTTACCCATGTGATCTTTGTCGGTGAAATTAATACC